TAAAAAAGCCACAGGCCTAAACACTTGACTGTTCTATATAAATTATCACACTTACCTTGCGGTAGTTAAGAGAGTATTACAGTAAATGGTTTGAACTCGGGGATAACATGAAATGGCGTAGTTTGATCTTCCGGGTGAGTGTAATCCAATCCTGACGAGAAGTGTTGTCGGTAGTGGTGACTGACGTTTCGACCACCTAAGCGAAAGTCATCATCAGAGTGAAGTGAATACTTGTTGTCAGTCGAATGTGTTAAGTCCGGGTCGATAACCTGATTGGTCAGTTTTGCTATGATGTTGTTCGCTGTAAGACTCAAGTAGCGTAGGTCAGTGGTAATTGGTTGGTCTTGATCCGTCGCATTTTTATCTGTTTCGCCCGTTTCCGCCTTCTTGATAATCCCACCTCCCACGTTTTCCGCCTTTCATATCATCTCCAGAGTGAAGGAAAGAAAGGGAGGAAAGGATAGAGGGAGGAAGAAAGGAAGGAATGGGGAAAAAATAAACGGAAAGAAAAAGAGCAGCGTGAAAAAAAAAATTAACAAAAATGAATAAAAGAGGTATTACAACCGGAATTTAAAGGTCCGGGTGACGGGAAGATGACCCCCCCCCCCCCCCCTTCTCCCATCCTGTTACGGACCCGCACTTTTCAAAAAGGAGGAAATTACAGATTATTTACGATTTAATTATAATTTCAGCAGAATATTGAAACCGTTTCTTACTCTTGATCACGCAGAGTCACTCGTGATCACTCGTGTGTACTTTTGGACAAGACCCTTTTCCTACGGTTTTGAAAAGAGGAACTCCATGTCGGTAAGTTTAAAGCGCCATGTACCTATTTATTCATTTATTTATCATATAAGAAAGATTGCCGTTACAGAAATCAGAAATAAGACGGCAGGAAATGAATCACTTCTTGAGGTCGAATGCAATTGTTCCCTAGTTTTTGTACATCGAAAAACTATTACTTGTATCAAAAGGCTTCTAAGAACTAGATTAGCAAATTTTCTGAGACTAAACTGTAACATGTGAACTTAACGGCTCAAAGTTTTGTTTGAGGAGTTGGCGAGCGAACTAGATAGAACATAAAGGCGTGATCGTTAGCGCCTATAGAGACTGAATAAACAGCTATGCTCATAAGTGTTAATGCAGTAAGCTTTAAATTGCAATGTAAAGTGTTTATTAGGAGGTAATTATTTTACAAAACAATCCTAATTTAAGGAAAAGTGTAAAGCAGGCGAAGAACAGTCTCTTTGGTGGGCGTCTAGGATGACAAACCCGAACGACTGCCACGAAAAAGGCTATTGTAGTTTGAAAATGTGATTAAAGGATTTTTACTTGAAATCATTCATTATTTGTTCTGAATGAAGATCACAGACAAGGAACTTAATGAAAGGATCATTTACGTGATATTAAGGTAAATACCTCATGGCTCATCCGTAATACACAGAATACTGTTTGTTTTGACGTAAGGGATATTTTAATCACACGAAGTACCAGGTCGATTGGCCTGCAAACTGAGCTATGAACTTAGAATTGGGTGAATTTTGGAGTCAATAAAAACGAAGCGTAACACAGTTAATGTGATCAAATTCCTTGTTTCTTAGTGTCATTAACAACTCATTTAACGCACATTAGGCTAAAAGCAACCGACTTCGTTACATGGCATTGTTGGGAATCTTTGCAAACATCCACGCACTACATCTCAGTTTTGTTATAAACACATTATGAAGAGCTTAATGACGTGTCAACTGACCTATGCGTAGCTCCGGATAACTTAAGGCCGCTATAAAAGCTTATTAGCCGAACTCAGCTGCCAAACATTAGCAAATTGAAGTGACTATGGCGCACAGCAGTTCTAAGCCGAACACAAGAAGCGCACCAGTTTTTTACGTATCAAGAAAGGAAACATTCAGCGCTGGCCATAGGTTAGTGAACCCGAAGCTCAGTGAAGAGGAGAACTGGCAATTATTCGGAAAATGTACAAATCCAAACGGCCATGGACATAACTACCGGGTTAAAATTACTCTCCGCGGAAAACAAGATCCTAAAACCGCCATGGTAATGCACTTAAGCAAGGTGAAAGAGCTTCTGAAGTCAGTACTTGAACCACTCGATCACAAAAATCTTCATATGGATATCGATTTCTTCAAGATCAACATGAGCACAACAGAGAATACAGCCAGGTACATATGGAATGAGATGGATGAAGTGCTACCCAATGGTATCTTGTATGAAGTTAAAGTGTCCTCCACTGATAACAACACCTTCGTATATAGAGGAGAAGTTGAATAGCCCTACCATTTGATGGTTCAGTTTACTTTTTTGGGAAAAAAGACAAAAAAAAATAGTTTAGGTCACTTTTTTTACACATTAATGGTTGACCAAAGAGTCGGAGACACCTTTTTTTCTTAAGTGAAACAGACTAGCTTCGTACAAACAAGCACTGTTTAGACTTGACTTGTGGAAGCACTATGTAGATATCTTTCAGTCAAACATCAAACAAAATGTTAAGTAATACAAATGATTGTTTATTTCGAACAATACTACTCAAAATAAATAACATCAAGAAAACAGATCAAATTGTGAGACGCACATTTCATCAAATACTAAGTACACGTAATTTTTAAAAGTCATGAGCCGAGTGGACCCGAATGGTACGCCTTTTACGAACTTGTAACAATCAATGCTTATGTTCAATTTACATTTCGCATGCAGTCTCTTTATGATGTGCATCAATGACATCTTGCGGCAAGATAACATTACGGTGAAAGACATTCTGAAATTCTGAAACTTAAGGTACTTGTATTATATTGTGCCAGGCTAATGTGATGTTTCTTCTGAAGATCTTGCATTATGTTATTTGGTGATCCGTAACACCACGAGATTACCCTTTAATGCTTAGTTTGGCAAAAGTGCGGTTGACAGGATTGTTGCCTACTGATTGGATCTCATGTTCTAAGCTAAGCCACCGTTAAGTTTATTGACAGATAACAATTAGTAAAGACAAACAAACGAAGACGAGAAAAAGCATCACCAGTTCTTTAATCATTGCTTATAGAGCTGTCGCTCGGCTCAAACGCGATGAGTACCTTACAATTGAATCAGGTGCAGGCCACGCTGACTACTTCCACCCGAGAAAACAATCGGTTCAACGTTTGAACGAGCTTCAAAGGGGCTAGATAGCAGGTGTTTAACGGAATCCTTTAATACAATTTTTGTCACCAGACTTTGTATGGTGACTTTTATCGTAGGACTTTAGGCCCTACAAGACGTACACATTTACCTAAAATATAGTGTTCTTGTTAGGCTATTGACCTAACATCGTGCTCTACACTTCTGTGCCACGAAAATTCGAATCTTCGACAACAGCAGCCAGCCATCCCGCCAAGTTGACTTCTTTTTGTTCATATCCAAGAATAAATGGGTGTTTCTGCAAAACAAAACTTACTTAAGTTAAATCCTGCTTTAATAAGAAATATTACGAAAATAGAAAAAAACAAAAACAAAAACAAGAGTAGGCCGATTACCAAAGCAACCGTTAAAATGTTGATTGCAAGGCACCTGTCAAAATACAATAGCAGTCTTAGGTACACTAACAATTATGGACAAACCTTCCCAGCCACTTCCCCAAGAGAAGAACCGACCGATCCTTTGGGTTACTACCGTGTCACGTAAAAATAAAAAGTGAATCAAGAAATTAATCACTACCACGTACCAGCAACGCGTTATACTTGGGTCGATATCTGTAGTCCTTTATCAAACTAAAAGAAACAACATCATCAACGATAACTATCGAATCATTTTCTGCAAACCAAGTTTGTTAAGTCGTTCTGGATTCCTTTAAGATGACAGGGTTTCTTACCATGTCTTGACAAAAGAGTAAAAGTTAGCAGTAAATCCTTGTCTGGGAAGTAAAGGAGGATCTTCACTCATCACACGAGACAGAACTTCAAACTCTGTGGTACAATTTCTGTATGGAAACTCTCCAGTAGCCAGCTCAACCTGCAATATAACCGACAGTAAGTCATGTCAGAAAACACACTTAGGCACAAGAAAAGCACTGTCCGGTTTGATCTCAAGCACTTGGCATATAATGTATTTACGAAATAGTTTGAACTGAATGATGCTGAAAAGTAACGCACGTACACACAAAATCATTTATACTTCTTTCTGTACACTTTGTAACAGGCGAAAAGGTCCACATAATGAAGAGGTCTACCTTAAATGTTACGGCAAACGGTTCAAGGCGAGGATAACGACATCACTAATTGTAGGCTCGGTATTGAGGCAGAAGAAGACTGACGAGCCAAAGATTCACAACAATCTTAAGTACTTGGGTTAGAGGTAGCGACAAGGCAGAACCTTAATATAATAACGTTTTAGTTCTATCTACTGTTTTTCTTAAAAAAAAAAAAAGGGCAAGACTTTGCTCACCAAACTTATTCCCAAGCTCCACACATCTGCTCTGACGTCATAATCTGGGTTCATAGGGTCTGGCGGGTCAATGCGCTCCGGCTGTTAAAAAAGTATTAGACAATTTAATTAAGAGGTAGAAAATCGGTATAGAAGCACAGTAATTCATAGCTTAGAACAAACCTAAAAACCATTTGCCGACAACTGCTTTAAGACTGAAAGGATCAAATATATCCAATCACAGTTGTTAGACGCCAGCCAATTACAGTAAAGTCTAAAAGGTGGCGCGTAACAGGTCTACCTCTTCCCGTTGATAAGACTGCCAGTATACAGTTGGAACAACGCGAGGCAAACGTTAATAAATGAATAAGGGGGTAAGTTTCTAAAGAAACTATGATTCTGCGTCAATGGGGGAGTATAGCAAGATCGTTTTGGTTTTTTCAACTTGGCAACCGTAACGAGTTCAAAGTGGCGTTTTGAGCGCTAACCCTTAGTCGAAGCGAATGAAGGAATTGTGGGTTGTGTGTATGTGTTTCTAAGCAGAAAATGGAGCCACGCTACTGACGGCAAAAACAAGAATAAATTAGTTGAATGAAAAGCGTTCGCTAATATCGTGGGGATTATGAATGCCGACTTGAAAGATAAATTATTGTTCAAGAGTTTTGCGGCCTCCCCAACTGCATAGATGTAAGGAAAGTCCGCAGACTACCATGTGTTGTTTAGAATGATTAGGGAGATTAAAGTGTCTAGCGACTGGTTTGGATGCGTCCTTGTCACTCCTATCTACGGCGCAGACGTGTTCTCGGAATCGGTCACCGAGTCGTCTTCTTGTTTTACCAATGTAAAACTTTTTGCAATAAGTGCAAGTTATGCAGTAGATGACATTGGCGGAGGTGCACGTGAAGTGATCGGTGATCTTAATGATCGTTTGGGTTCTGATATTTTCTCAACGTTATGCACGAAAGGACAAGTTTTGCATCGTGCGCGAGCGCATTTGAAAGCTTCGGGTTGGTCATTGGTTTGAAATGAACTTCTAACCAAAATGTTGCCTATGTAGTTGCAACGTTTGAATGAAATTAGTGGAGGTTGCGAAAAGATAGTACCCGTATCAGATTCATTTTTAAGTACTTTAAAGTTTTTAAGAATGATGGATTCAACGGCTTGGTTGTGAGAGTATAATGTGAGAATGAATGGTATGCGATTGGTAATTTCCTTTTGTGCCGTTTGTAGTGCTGACTGTCGATTAATTTGTTGGGCGCGGTGGTGGCCTACTTAAACGACAGAAACAAGGTAGCCACGTTTTCCGAAAAACTGGCACACTGCTTCTGATGATTTGTTGAAAACAATCAGAGTCATCACAACATAAACGACGAAGTCAAAGAAACTGAGAAAACGGAATGGAATTTAAATTAAAACAAGTTTTTAACTCACTGCCATGTAGGCCGCACATCCTGCACTTCTTGTCTTTGCTTTTGAATCAACCAAACGACCACTGATACCAAAATCACAAAGTTTCACGGAACCATTCTGGTCCAGTAAAACATTGGATGGTTTGACATCTGGAATACATAAAGCGAAACTAAAGTAAGTCGATCAAACATTGAGTAATACACCGTCTTTAGCATCAATGACAAACCCTTCTACTTGATACACATCTCAGAGTCATAGTTTAATTTCTTTGATAACTTGCCTCTGTGCATAACTCCATGGGTCTCCTTTAAATAATTCAAAGCCTTGACAATCTGAACAAGTAACAAATAGAAACAGTGAAAGAATTTCTATCATTCGATGATTCCATGATTTCCACTAACAAGCTGAGATTTACTATAGCTAAAATAAACTAATGTCTATTTAGGAAAACGGCAAAACATAACCTTACAAACCTTACAAAGGGTTTTTGGTTACAAAGTAATCATAATTCAAGTATTTAGGAGTTGTTGAACATATTTCTTGGAATTCTCATGTTAAGTATGTTTGTCCCGATTTGGTGAACGACTGGGAATGCTAGGACGCATTAGGGGGAATCTTACATCTGACTGTGCTAATTCCATTTACACAGCTTATATTCGTCCTATTTTGGATTATTGTGACACCGTGTGGAACTGCTGCGGAGCTGGCAACAGTTCGTCATTGGAGAGGCTTCAAAGACGTGCCGCTAAAATTGTTTCAAAAATGAGCGACAGTGACAGAGCTTTGGGTTACCTTAAGTGGCCATCTCTGGTAAATAAACGAGAGAGCCATGTTGATGAACTCGTCAAAAGATGCATTAAAGGAAGTCGTCCACAATTTTTTAAAAACTATTTTATTTTTAACAGTTCTGTCCAAAATCGAATTACGAGGCAAATGAACATGTTACACTTGCCAAGGGTTAGAACTGACTTAGCTAAAAAATCTTTTTATTTTAATGTTTCTGTAATCTTCAATAAGCTAAATTTTTAATGTTTCAAGATTTTATTCATTTTTACTGTAACTGTATATAGCCCATATTATAAGATTAACTTAACTTTTCCTAAGGGTTACCAGTAGAAGTAGTATTTTAGCATGATTGTGTAGGTCTTATCATTTTAATTTTTATCAGTGCCCCAATTAATAGCAGCGCTTAGAGCATCTGAATGGGCTATCCTGAATAAATAAAGGTCTTCTTCTTCTTCTTCTTCTTAATTTTCTCAATATTAAGCACCTACTTGAGGCTTGTATGAGTAAGTGCACATTGATAATTCAAGTGTATGTCAGTACACTCATCAAGTGCTATTTAGCACCTTCCTTAGGCTTGTATGAGTAAGTGCACATTGATAATTTAAGTGTATGTCAGTACACTCATCAAGCGCAATAGCAGTGCTTAGAGCATCTGAATGGGCTATCCTGAATAAATAAAGGTC